TAATACTTTTGATATTGCTGTGTAAAGTGATGATCCTTTATTCCTGACTACTCATGCTATATATATATATACTGCTATCAATTATTCTATGAATGATGTGGAAGACACTAGTAAAAGAGCTTCTAGCAAATGCCATTGTCGAAGGAAGGAAAAGGAGGAGATTCTAGAAGGAGCCAGCAAAAGCTGTTATACGCAGTCACATGACTACGACAATACCCCCTCCCGAAAATCTTGGTCGTCCTCGACCAGCACTGACGCAATAGTGTTGGCAGCATCAGCAAGTTGTCTCCAGCGTGCTCTTGTAGCAGTGGGATCATACCAAGTGTCAGGGTTTCCGTCGGCCTTGTTGATATGTATTGGGCGTAGTCGATCAGTATGTACCCATGATTTATATGCTTCTCCATTCATGCTGTGCAACTTGTATATGTCCGTGTGGAGATTTCGGTCGACAATCTTGTAAGGTCCACGCCAGTTATACTCCAAGCCCAACTTGTTTTCATGCCGTAATAGAACAAAGTCGCCAACTGAGAATACTTGTTTCTTGGTGAGCAAATCCCATTGTGCTTTGTCTTTTTCGCGATCCTTCTGCATGCGAGATATAGCTTGTGCTCGAGCGTTACGTAATGAACGAAGTGTAGGAAGTCGGCTTAAAACAAGTGCGTTTGGATCATTGGTTGGCTCTTCAGTGATAACAGGACGTAAAGGATCTCCAGGCAATTTGGGTTCTTGACCATACACCATGAAGAATGGGCTCATTTGGGTGGTTCTGTGTTTGCGAATGCGACATGCAAACAAGGCAGTATCAAGAAAATCATCCCAGCGATGTATATCACCATGCACATACTTGCGTAACATTGACTTAAGGATGCCATTTGTGCGTTCAACCTTGCCATTGGATCGAGGGTGGAAAGCTGAAGTCAAATTGTGCTTGGTTTTGAGCCGGCCAAGATAGTGATCCAAAAACTTGCCCATGAAATTAGCGCCACGATCAGAGACAATTTCTTCGGGACATCCAAAGCGCATCACGATTTCTTCATGAATGAACTTGGCAATAGCGTCACTAGTGGCGTCAGGAACAGCACGTGCAATAGGCCAATTTGTTGTATAGTCGACAGCAACAAGGATCCAGCGATTACCATTGGCAGTGGTAGGTAGTTCACCAATAAAATCCAGGTGCCAACGAGAGAAAGCAGGAGGAATTTCAGTCAAATGCATTGGGGAATGGTGGGTATTTCGATCAGCAACTGCAGCCAATTGGCATTGTGGACATTGAGCAAGCCATTCTTGAATATCTTCCTTCATATTGGGCCACCACCATCGTTTGCGCACTAAGTCATACATTGTAGTTATTCCGGGATGTCCAAAAGCCTTATGCAGTTCTTGTACAATATCGGCACGTCGTGAAAACATAGCAAAACGGACTTCTTGAAGAGTGTCATTCATCTTGACCTTGCGAAACACCATGTCGTTACGCACCACGAATTGGTCACGATGTTTGCCTAACAAGTCAGCATAAGATGGGGGCCATTTGTCTTCAGATCGCAAATAGAATTTGGGCCAATCAGATTCTTGAATTGCACGAGTTGCATAGAGATATTCTGGTTCCATATCCGATTCATGGGAAAGACAATGAGCACCATCACGCCGAGAAAGAATATCAGGGACATGGTTGTCTTTTCCAGGCTTGTATTGGATATCAGGATTATACAGTTCCATTTCAGCGATCCATCGAGTCAAACGAGGTGTAGGCTTGCGTTGAGATCGGAAATACTTCAATGGGTGATGATCCGTGAACACAGTATAAGAGCGGCCTTCTATAAAACATCTCCAAGAGCGTAATGCATGCAAGATACCCAATAGCTCTCTTTCTTGTGCAGGATAATTACGTTCGGCAGGAGAAAGCTTCTTGGATTCAAAAGCCAAAGGATGCAATTCACCATCCTCACCTTCTTGTAGGAGAACAGCACCAACACCAAAATCGGACGCATCAGTTTCAATCACAAAGGGCTTGTCTGCATTAGGTGGTACCAAAATGGGCGCCGAATCATGCGTGACTGAATCTCTTCAAATGCCGCCTGACACTTAGGTGTCCACTCAATCGAACGCGTCTTGCTTCCGGTTCCTTTTGTCAAGTCAGTCAATGGTGCAGCAATAGTTGAGAAACCACGTATGAAACGCCTGTAATGTGACGCCAAACCAACAAATTGCCTCACTTCTTGAACATTGGTGGGGATAGGCCATTCTTGGATTGCCTTTACCTTGGACTTGGATGGCAGAATGCCTTGAGCGTTCACTTGGAAACCAACAAACTCCAACTCGGTCTTGTTGAATTCGCATTTCTTGAGATTGGCGTACAACTTGTGAGCTCGTAAACGATCCAACACCATGCGCACATGCCTGAGATGTTCTTCTTTGGTACGGCTGTAGATAAGGATGTCGTCAAGGTAAACCAGAGCAAACTTGTCGAGATAATCACCAAGGACTGAATTCATCATGCGTTGGAATGTAGGTGGTGCATTAGTCAAGCCAAATGGGAGGACTTTCCACTGCCAGGCGCCGTATCTTGTATTGAATGCTGTTTTCGGAACATCTTCAGGCCGAATACGTACTTGATGATATCCACTCTTGAGATCAATACTGGAGAAGTATCGAGCACCACCAAGTCGTTCAAGACATTCATCAATTCTTGGTAAGGGATGTGCATTGCGACGTGTTACAGCGTTAAGAGCGCGATAGTCAATACAGAGTCGCATGGAACCATCTTTCTTGCGCACAAATAGAACTGGAGCACCCCATGGAGAATTGCTTGGTTCGATCAATCCCAAAGTCTGCAGTTCAGCCAGTTGTCGTCGTAGCTCATCCAATTCAAGAGGGCTCATCTTGAAGGGATGTCGGTTGATGGGTTGAGCATCACCAGTATCGATTACATGCTCAATATCACGGTCTGGAGGTAAGCCTGGTAACTCATTCTTGAAGACATCAGCATATTCCTGAACCAAGCTGTCAAATGTGCCATCATATTTGTCTGCCTTTCCTGCTGTATAAAATAATACATCTCGCTGATAGCCTTGGACCTTGACAATCGTTGGATCTCGCGATGACTGAGAAGATATGCCAGATCAGGGATCTGCCGCTTACGACTTGGCGTTAAGATGTGAATATGGTTGTTTTGCTTGATTTGCCATGTGTCGTGTCGCCAATCTGGTACTGGTTGTACGTGCTTGAACCAATCTCTGCCAAGAATGATATCGAATTTGGTATCAAACACATATGCCTTCCATGGATGGATGTAGCCTTCAGCCATTGAGAGTTCAAAAGAAACGAGAGACTTGATCGCCATAGTATGTCCACCGGCTGTTTCGACTTCTCGTCCTTGCACCAAGTGATGTGTCATATTCTTGCAAACACGTGGAGAAATGTAGGATGTACTAGCGCCAGTATCAAGCAAGACAGTGACAGGTTTTCCATTGCAGACCATAGAATACAGAGGCAAATCCGATTCCTTTATTGTGTTCAATTCCTTCAAATGGGTTATGTCCAGCTCAAGATCAGATGTTGGCTTGTTATTTCCACAAATGGGCTCTTCGGCAAGATCAATGAGTTGTCCTTCAGGTACTTGTGCCACATTCGTTGTTGCATTGAGGGAGTTGTGCTGATTGGTTGCTATGCGCGACGATGACTCCCTTACATACGTCGCGCTCCGTCTTTTAAAGGTTTGTCCTTATTGGGAAGTCGTTGAACAGGTCTATAGCGCCATTCACCAGGTAAATCGGAAGGGCAAGAACGTTGTAAATGACCGAGTCCTCCACAATTGTAGCAACGGGATGGTTCTTGATTCATACGATTATTGTCACGACGAGAGAATGTTCTTGGAGCACGCCAATCATTGCGCCGATATCTTGTTTGAACAGCATCGAGATCCATGTATTCAATATCGCGAGTTGGTTCAGATCTTGTCATCAATGTTGTCTTGTTGCCAGCATTCGGATGTAATGATCTTGCACCTTCATACGCAAATGCAATCTTCTCCGCTTCAGCAGTTGTTGTCGGAAATTGTGTACGCACGTAGACTTGAACATGTTCAGTCAATCCACGCACGAAACGGTCCAACGCTTCATCATCCGTCATTGTTGGAATTTCGAGCCAAATGTTGCGGAAGTCGTTCACATATTCTTCAACAGAGCCAGTTTGTTTCAAAGCGGCCAATCGATCGCGTGCGGTTTGATAAGCGTTACGAGGCTTAAATTCGTCCAACACCAGCTTGCAGAATTCATTCCAAGTGCTTGCATGATGTCCAACGATTTCTTTTGTACGCCACCAAGTGTCAGCTTCTCCTCGGAAAAGATTGATTGCATATTGGACCCGGTCGACTTCATCCATTCCAGTAACTTCGGCATAACGTTGTACAGATCGTAGCCAGCTTTCAGCAGCATGTGTTGTTCTTGTTCCATGGTAAGTGTCGGGTTCTCGTAGCCTAGGTCTAAACATGGGTCCTTTCTGGTTCTCTTGGTTCTTAAGCAATTGCGTCAATGCCGCCAAGATAGCAGTATTCATATCTTGTCCTTGTTCTTGCATAATAAATCGTTCTTGGTTCGTAAATGGTGGCTCGTCGTCTGATAAATCAATCGGTTCTAGTCCGGGGTTCGGTATTCTTGAAATGCTCGGTTGTTCACAGATGGATCATTAAAAGGCATCAGCTACCAATTGTCGTTATCGTATGGCTGATCAGATCAGTGGCCAGTGATAATACTTTTGATATTGCTGTGTAAAGTGATGATCCTTTATTCCTGACTACTCATGCTATATATATATATACTGCTATCAATTATTCTATGAATGATGTGGAAGACACTAGTAAAAGAGCTTCTAGCAAATGCCATTGTCGAAGGAAGGAAAAGGAGGAGATTCTAGAAGGAGCCAGCAAAAGCTGTTATACGCAGTCACATGACTACGACACACATTTGGACAAGGACTCAAAAACAGTAAAACGGGTCTAATTCTACCCAAACCGGGACTCGAACCCGGAATCTTCTGATTAGGAGTCAGACGCGTTATCCATTTCGCCATTTGGGCCTCTTGAGCAAAATTAAGAAATATAAACTTATAACCACGTTACGAAATTCAGCCAATCAAATATTGTCTGTGGGGTTGCGAACCAATAGAAGGCAAAAGCGATTTTGGTTTCGTACGCCGCTTTCGGCTGCCGCAGAAAAGAAGTCTACACACCCTTTACCAGTAGATGATCGCTTTTTTTCTTAGAGCCAATTATAATATCACATATCAAGAGTATAAACCTGTGATAATAAGTTATAAAATGGAGCCTTCAGGATAACGGAAAATGTTCATTTATACTTCCATGCTTAGTGGATACATACTGGCAGCATGAGTCATCACCTTGGGTAACCATTATCAAAGAGTATATGTACTTTTGTAAGGTGCACTGGTGAAGTCGTTAAATAGCAATGATACACAAATGCAAAAGCTTCTTTTAGAAGAGGATCAGGGATAGATAGAGTTATCCATTACTTCTATCCACCAGTCCTGTGCGCAAATGTTGCTGATTCTTCTATACACACTTGTGCATCGCTTCCAATATCGATATAATTAACAACTCCCCAAAAAGTCATAGAACTAGGATACAATTTTTTACCACAAACAGATCAAATAGTTTACTTGCTGTTTATTAAGTCTGGAACCATGTCGTAAACGTTTATTAGGATTCAGAAGGGGCGGGTTCTTGCCGCTGTATAGAAACGGATTGTCCAGACTCGGATAACCGCTGAAAGCGCTCCTGATCCTCTTTCTCTTGATTAATTGCCTTTGCGCGCGATTTGGCCTCGGAAGCTGCGAGCATCTCGTCTTTACGGAAATCAGTAATGTCGTTTTGAAAAGAGAAAAATCAAGACAATTACAGTAGTTGCTCTTAATAAGCATAACTTCTATGGTTGCTCCTGTGAGAACACCCAATCCAAAAATCTTTGAGTAGAATGCAACGCTCATTCTTTTAGAGGAGTAAGCACAAAAGGGAAAAAAAATTTAAATGGGGCCGGAAAATAGTACTTGGCCCACGGATCTGTAGTTATTATTAATACTATCACGCTTTGTTCTTGACTATAGGTACACTGATTGGCATCTCATCTTTGACCGATATTTTTTCATGCTCTTCTACGATCTGTCGATACTTGGTTGTCTTTACAAACTTTGGAACAGAGTCTGATGCCATGAGACGGCAAATGTGTTCGTTCACTCGCTCGAACCATTTCATCATGACACGCAGGCTCTGTGCAGGAGAATTGGTTGACAACGTAATCTTTGGCTTAGAATGCCCGGGCATATAAGTTTGCTCGACCTGGATGGTAGAGCCGAATACTCTGTTCATTTCTTGGCGAAGAGTGTGCTCAACATTAAGCTCGCAGCGGGCCCCAGGAGCAAGATATGTCGTCCAGATATCGTATGCGTCCTCAAGAAGATCGCGCTGATTTTGTGATGGCATGGCCGGGTTCATCTGGCGAACCTTACGTCGGAGGCAATCGTAGTCGATCCAGAAATCAAGGTTCTCCTCGCAATAATTCACACGTAGAAAGTCCTTGAACAGCGACCGGAGCTGAGGATCATCGAGAATCGTTTTGAGCTTGACAGCATTACTATCCTTTGGATCCTGTTGCTGCTGTTGCTGAAAATCTGAAGTTTGGTGGGATGAATCAAGTGTGGACGCACTCGATACGCGCTGCAGTTGCTTTTCCGCAGGTTTGGTGGTGGTAGTGGTGGCTGTCGCGGGGTCCACAGCAGGTGTACCCGGTGTATTTGCAGCAGCAATGCATTCATTCGGGTCTTGGGATAGGATCTCACGGAGGGATGTCTGCTGCTCGCCCGCATTTTTGGCAAGAGGCTCACGTACAACGTCTTTACCTTTGGCAGTAAGGTTGAGCGTGGTAGTGCTGGATGCTTTGACAGGCAATGTTTTGCGAGGATCCTGGAATTCGAGCCATTGGTACTTCACAAATTCAGTGGCAACCTGCTCTGCCTCCTCCTTCGAGGACACAGTAGTGTAGTCGGCAAGCCATTCTGTGCAAAGTTGCGCGGAGAAAGAGGAACGCATCTCGCGCTGTTGCTTACCAGCGCGTTGGGAAGGCTTATTGCGTTTCGACTGCGAGAGCAGATTGTTGGCCATGAGCTGAATACGCGAGTCTGACTGAGAGCTCATGGAAAAAGGGAGGGACGAGCCTGAGGATTGGGATGAGGCACTCGACATGGCTCTTTGGCCCTGTGCATATCCTTGTGCAGCAGCAGACGAAGAAGAGGAGACAGAAGAGGAGGACGAGAAAGAACCAGAGGATGACTTGACGTTTGTATTCAACGACTGCAGGTCACCTTCGAGAGGTAAACTAGTCATCATGACCCGGAAGACAATAGCCATATTTGATCGGTTAATGGCAATTTGGTCGTCGTCGGCAAGGCGCTCCAGACGGACGAGCTGAATAAGGTCGAGATGACCAAACGTTTTTCTGAGAGTGGACATATCCGCCTCTGTCCGGACACAGAAGTCTTGTAGGATTACAATGCCTTTTGGTGTTAACTGCCATATGCCCTTTTCGCGGAATGCCCTGCTCTGAAGATCCGTCGCGTTTTCCATGAGCCGACACTGATGAAATTGTTGGCAAAGGGCTTTGGCCATAGCCTTTTCCATATTGAATGTAGTTGTGGTTGTTTTTTTAAGAAACTTGGATGAGTCGTTAGGATCTGGGATGCGCGCAGTGTATGCGAACTTCAGGTTGCCTAGTGCTTGGATGGCTTCATCAGACGTGAAGGTATTGGGGTAGTTTCGGAAAAGATAGCGGTGAGTGGTGAGCGGAATTTGTACAATCAAAGCTCCAAAGAGGTCATGTATATCCTAAGAAACATATGTTGCTTAGCAGTGCCGTTCGTCGGATATATGAATGAATCCCAATACCTTTACGAATGGCCGACCGTCAACGGTAAATTTCATCATTGAGGTATAAGCCTGCTGTTGCTGATATGTGGTACCATCCATGATGTGTTGAATTACTAGCGAAATGGAAGTATTTGAAAGGGGGGAGACCGACAATATATACTGTTGCTAGATTTTATCACGACTGTTGTCGATGTTTCAGAAAGAGCACGGTGACTACGCCAGCAACCATCCCCTTTCTCCATAAATCATAGAAGCAGCTTCGCAGACACACACACACACACACGTCAAACTGATAAATAAGGAGAAAGGGGGAGGGAGCGCACACCAATAAAGCGATGGGAGCAATAAAGTAGGAAGGTTGGGGCGATAGGTAAAATAAAGGGGTTTACGACATCATAGTGGATGTATAACAATGAATGTAAGTGAATAAATGGAACTCATCGAACGCTCAGGTCTTCAGCACGCAAGATTTTTTTTCATTTCTATATTATCAGCTTCTATTGCACATCTCATGTGCGTAATACAAACAGAAAGAGAAGGAGTAATCCGCGAGCTTTGTTATTACAAAACAATCCAGAAGTGAGGATCCAAAAGCTTACTGAGCGTAGTATGTTTGTTTCAGCTTTCCTTTTCTGACCGGGTAATGTGATGACACTCCTTGCAATACTTTACAAGTGGCTAGCTCCCACCATCCCTGCCTGTCAATACCGGGTACTCCTTCACAGCATCCTTTTCATCAAGCAAAGAATGGTTTTACATGTCAATCAGCCACTATACAACAGTACGTGAATGAGGATGTGCGTGTGTAAGCTCTGATATATATATATATATATATATAACTGAAAAAACCACAAACGTGTCTCCCCCCATTCGACATTTGCCTCAAGCCCTACTGGAACGCATTATACGCCATCTGCCTAAATATGGGGGTGTCTCTTGTGGCATACGTTATCATCAAGGCCATTTGCCTTTCCTAGTACTGTGAACTTTTCTTTCACTTTTCTTGCTTGACTAGCACGATAGGGAAGGGGCTTTTTCTTCAGCGCAGCAGTTTTGAATACGAGAAACTCAAATTCATGCCTCCTTCAAAACAAGAGCGAGGGAACAATAAAGTAGCGTCGCTTGCTAGTACCAGAAGTTGAGGATTTCCATCACTCCTGATCCCTCTTTCTCGACCACACCCCTTTTCGTCTAGTCCTCGTGATTCTCCTTTTCGCTACTGGACGACGATAAACGCGTATGATACAACGAGAATATTTTCTTTTATTCTCCCTAAAATAATTGCACGCCCAATTTTCTCTCCCATAACATTATTGCCATGACCACTGCGTGCTGATTAGCTCACCTGCTTTTGCATGGTACTCTCTATTCATAAAATACACGCGTAAACAGAGGAGCTTACTACCGGTCTTCTGTCTCTTCTATATTATCCGAAAAGAGACCACGCGGGAAAATCCATATAACGCCGCTGCGTACCTAGCGATCGCTCCCGTAAGGTATTCCTCCCATCCACTGAGCAATGTTGAACTACTTATGTTGAGATGCGCCGTTCATTGTTCCTTGAAATCTGTCCTTCGTTCGCTATATTAGGCTGCGGCATAGACTAGGCTACTATATCTCGTCATATGTAGATGCGGCAGTTGCCGCAATCGAAAATACCCCCCTTGTCCCTCTCCAATTATAATATCGAGCTATCCTGGAGAGATATGATCATCGTTTCTTTATATTATGCATAATATATTGCTAGAGTAATGCAAACAACTGAAAATCCGGAGATAGTTATCGCGATAACGCACAATTATTAATCGGCGACGGGATAATTGTATTCTGCAAACGTTCGACAGAGGAAGAAAAAGCACGTACCTTATGCAGCATATCCATTAAATCGGCCCAACTACCGGATATCTGCAGCTACCACGCGAAAAAATAACATAGCACTATTATCTTAGAACCAGACCAAAGAAAGTGGCCATATCAGATGCGGAGTGTGGCGTAGAAAGTTAAAGTGATCAGACTTTATTTAGGAAGTGCAGCAGCCAACTATGGGTGGATGGCGATTACTTATCAGTTCCTGACCGATAATGTCATCCCGCGGAAAAAAGGGCGAAGACGGATTATGGAAGTGACTCACGTTCTTCGT